CTGCGGACACAGAGAGAGGGGGGGGTCGTCTCAGTGACAGCCGTGGCACCTGCGGGGCCTGGGGCGCGTCACCCCACGCGGGAGGGGCTCACCTGCATGGCAAAGTGCTGGTGCTGCTGCACCGGCTCTCCAGGATGGGGCTCGGGCACTCGTGGAGAGCCGTACAGTTTGGTGGGATTGGATCCATGCAAAGGGCCGAAGGTTCCTGGCACTGCTGGTCTCTATAAATATAAGCACAATATAAGAAATAAAACAATTTGTGAAGGGCATAAAAGCAGCAGAAACACTGCAGGTGAGGGGAAGCCAAGGCTGGAGTAACTGCACAAATAAGCAGCTGGACCGTTTTGGAGGTACCGTAGAAAAGCTGCACACTCTCTTCTATGGGTGACCCAGCCTTATCAAAGCCACTCTGTCACACCTCAGCCACTCACTGTCACGATGATATTCTCTGAAAAATCCTTTTGCCAGGATTTCTTCTCCTGAGAAGCTGAGAGGCCTCAGAAATGAAATGCAAGCAATAATTATCTGCTGCTGTGGAATGCAACAGGTGCATCTTTGATTGGTCTCACGTGGTTGTTTCTAATTAATGGCCAATAACAGCCCAGCTGTCTCGGACTCTGGTCAGTCACAAGACTTTATTATCATTAATTTTTTCCTTTCCTTGCTAGCCTTCTGATTAAATCCTTTCTTCTGTTCTTTTAGTATAAATATATCATTTTCCTTTAATATAATATACATCACAAAATAATGAATCAGCGTTCTGAAACATGGAGTCAGGTTTCTCATCTCTTCCCTCGTCCTGGGAGCACTGCGAACACCACCACAACTCACCTCTGAACTTAAGGCTGCAATACACTCACTTGCCACCCAAATACTGGGGGGGCAGGAAAGAAGGCTGGAGGAGGCAGTGGTTTGCTTCAAGAACAGGAATGGACCACAAGAGTATGGAAGCAGGAAGACAACAGGGAGTGTGCTGGATTTCCTTCAAAATACTCAGTGCCTCCAGCTGTCCTACCACCTTCCACTATCTGCAGCACAAGAATCACACTAAAGATTTTGTTTGATCTCTAACTAAAAGGGCAAGGGATAGCCTAAATATCAGGAGAACAGCAGATACATCACACCACAAGCAATCACTGGTTAAAATGGAAAAGGCAGTGAAGGCTGGGTGAGGAACAGCCCGGAGGGGAGGCAGAACAGAGGTGGCATTCAGAAAAGAAATGCTGGGCTAAAGATAGGTCACTGCTTCAGTCCAGGGTGGCCTTTGTTTGATTCAGTTTACTGCTTTTATAAATACTCAAAGCACAAAATGCAGTAGTACACAGATGGCACAAAGTTACCAGGCATCTGTAAACAATTGAGACAAAAGACCAGATTGTTCAGCTTCATAAACTGCGGGGTAAGGGAAGAAATGTTACAGCTTTCCATGCACACTGGGGCTACTCTCCAAGGAGAGAAGAAAACTGGGGGAATCAGTTTGTCTACACTGGGAAATGACAGCCATGAGAAACATTAGGAGATTGCCCCCACCTAATGTGGCAAAGACTTAAATTTCACCAGTTTAAATCTAAGGGCTGAAAAGGTTTCACTTGGAAGAACCATAGCTCTGACTCTTTATCTCTGGGAAAAGGTTCCTGACAGGCACTAAGGATTTCATGGTAGGAAGTTTCATTCCCCTTTACCTCCCTCCCTGCCTTGTCCTGATGGGCAGAGGGCAGCAGGAGCTGCTCCTTACCATCTGTGCAGGATGTGGCACAGGGCTGGGCATGCCGCCGTACTGCAGGGAGCGTGGGAAGCCTCGCCCGTTGGAAGGGCCCACCTCTCGAGCAGCCTGCATGGCGTTGCCACTTGGGTCATCCACAGAGGACGAGGAGAAGGAGGAGGAGGAGGAAGAGGAGGAAGAAGCGGGAGCCCTGGAAGCAGCTCGATATGGAGGAGGTTTTCCTCCATTTTCCAGGCGTTGCTGTCTCTTGCCGGGCCCATCGGGGTCTCGTGATCGAGTCCAGACGCTGCCTGTGCCGGAGCGGCCGGACCGCCGGCTCCTCTTCTCTCTTCTCCCGTCCTCTCTGATCCAAAACTCCTCATCTGTGTCTCCATCTTCCCCAGGGAAGTGCTTCATCATTGCTCGGTGGAAACACCTCTCCAAGTTGTAAGCCATCTTTGTATATTCTGCAGTCAAAAACCCCCAAGAACATCAGAGCCTTGTAGAGAGAAGCAATTAAGCAATTATGCAACATCAGATAAATCATCTTCCCTCTGCCAAGTTTCTCCAAGGAAGACTTTTGTTTCTAACTAGTTGGCTTTGGTTCCTAAACTCCATAAGCAACACAGCATCAGGTCTGTTCAGTAACCCCAGCAGAGGACAGGCACACAGGCATGACAAAGTACCACTGGCAGCAGGGCCTGCAGAGTCAGCATTAACTCAGTGTTCCAGCCTAGTGCCAAGAATTACATTAGGGGAGCACCACCTCTGCTCACAGAGATGTGTGACCTGCACAGTTAGCCAGCAGGAGTGCTGAGAGAAGAAATGTGAACTTCCAGCAATGCTATTTGATTACTTTCAGAGGCTTTTCTTGGACTCGTTCAGTCTCTCCTGTGGGCCACAAGACAGAGGAAAATCAGCAAACACATTTATCTGTGTAGTTTCCAAAGCACTTGTTGACCCTGACATGAAAGCTATTGCCAACAACAGTGTCCCCACTGCATCATTTTTACTGGACAGTTCTGCTGAGATGTGCGTTTACTTTTTGTTGAGTGGATAGGAAGGAACAGACATTTGAGAGGTGCTGGTAACAAGGCCTGGAAGCAAGTGACTTTCCAGTTGTTTCGACTCAACTAACCCTGAAGTTCCTTGAGGAACAGAGCTCTCCCAGTGGCACTGCACGTATGCTTTTACTTGCAGCCAACAGCAACAAGCTGATTTGTTCTTAATGTTGCTCTCCCTTTCTCACCAGGTGTTGCTGGTGAGACAGTCTGCAGTGATGACCCACCATATGGGAACTGATTTCTTATCTAAGCAACACATAGAATTTTAATTGGCATGGCAATAAAACCCAGGATTTCCCATTTGTACACTCACATTGTTCCTTCAGTAGCCAAGGAAGCTAAAAACTACATTTTCCATCCAAAGGACAGGCATGGGTCACTCCTCACTTTCCTGTGGTACTCAACAAACACTGGCAGTCAACCAGACTGCAATGCTTTTTAGTCTGTTAGTTACTATGAGGAAAAGGGGCACACATAAACACATGAAGGAATAAGTTCAAAAGAAACAGACTCTCCTCTCTGTGTGCTCTGCCTTCACCATCTACCATCATGGCAGTCCTTGGTATGCCATGCCCCAGTTCAGCATGACTAAACTGTGCTAAAAGCCTCACTAAAACCCAGTGCAGGTCTCAGTAACTATTACCCTGTCATCTGGTCTCCCAAAAATATTCTGAAAGAGAAGAATCACAAATCAACTGGTGAGGAGGAAGAGAGCACTGCAAATAGACAAATCTAGCATCTTACTGCTCTTACCACTGCCTTCTCCGTTGTACTTCAGACAGTTCCTGAACATGGTCTTCATATCACCCACAAATTCATCCTTGGTGCAGTACTGACCTCCATTCAGCTTCTTCTCCATGCTGGAGATATCCATGGGGGCCTGGAATACAACCAAACTTCCCTTCAGTTACAGACAGCACAGTGGGGCTTACAAAGTTAGAGCTCAGAGAGGGCATGGGCAGCAGAGGATGCTCTCCAGAGAGGCAGCCATCCATTTTTGGTTTCCTTCACTTGTAAAGTTAGAAGGGACTGCCAGAATCATGGAGCTGGACTGTGAGAGTAATACAGCCCATCAAACTTCAAAAAACTTCCCAAGAACTGCATCCCAGTGAACAAAGGGCATCAGTCAAGATGGCTGTGCCACTTTCCATACCTTAATGATCTGGTAGTAGTTGGGAGCATACGACTCATCAACGGGCTCCAAGAAGGGCCAAGAGTCCTTGTGAGCCTTCACCACATCTAGAACTGGCAGTAGCAAGAGAAAGGTGAATGGTTACACTCACACACACACAGAAGTACTTCACTTTGAGAAAGCTGGGGTGGGACTAACCTTTGTACATGGCTGTGAACTCATCGTCCAGTTCAAAGCTGTAACAGGAAGCACCACAGTGAATATGCAGACTGATAGATAAGACATGCTCTGTACTTCATCTTCTCCTCCACCCATGCAGTGCCACCATGCTGGCCAGCAGGCCTCCTCACAAACACTCCTCTCATATGGACCAAACCCAGATGTTTCTCAGCTTACTCCTCTCACTGTTCTCCATCCTCACTTCTCCCTCTGCATTCCTGTGAATGATCACACTCCACTCCTTGCCATACTTACTCTGCTTCAATACACTTGTGTGCTGCAATGGCCCATTGTGTACTCACATGTCCTTGGTCCTTCTCTCCTCCCTGCCAGGGGAGCTGGGATCCAGGTGGGAAAGCTCAGGGGGCAGCTCCTTCCCCTGTGCCAGCAGCCACGCCCGCTCTTCGCGAAGTTTCCTCCTCCTGGCCCGCTCTGCAGTGGGAAGAGATGAAAAACCATTCAGCACTCTTTGCCCGCATTTTGCAGGGAAACAGAAGGTGCTCCTGCAGCTCCCAAGAACTCCAGTGAGAGGATCTTGTTCTTTCAGCAAAAGCAGCACCAGCACAGGAGCAGGTGAGGTGAGAATACAGTGCACCATCATCATGCCTCATCATCCTCCCTTGGTTACAATCACCAATTTTGGAGCACCACTTTGACACAGATGCTGCCTTAGGCAACTTCCAGAAGTGGTAGAAAGAGGGAAGCTCAACACCCATCTCTACGCACAGCGCAGCACTATGGAAAGAGCTGGCTTGTTTTTATCTTCCTTTAGGGGCTTCACCGCAGGCAGGTGAACTTGAGGCAGCTGCCTTTGCATGGAATGGGATGAAGAGCAGTGCTGAGGGAGAGGAGTTCTACCAGTGGCAATGAGTAACTGGGGTCATTTTTATCCTCCTTGGCTGGCTTTGGGAAGATTGCTCAGGTAGGTCTTCATGGCCAGCAGCCAGAGTGAGCAACCTGCCACACACGAGGGCCACTGGGACGGCTTTCATTTAAAGAAGTGAGACACAGGAAGAAGCAATGCTGGTAATAGAACCTGTGGTTTGCAACCAGACAGCTGGCCAACAGATTGCTTCATAATAGAAAGTTTATGGGCTCTTATGAACCTCATTTCCTTTTGCTTACAGGAAATCTGAATTCATTTGACTTGTGAAACACCTGCAGTTGGACCAACCTTCTGCAGGAGCAGAATTCTGTGGAAGTAATGTTCAGGGAGAGATGTCACAGGAACTGGCCATGTCAGGGAACACCCAGAGTGAAAGAAAGATGAGGGAGACGTGGCCAACATCCTGTAGCAGAGGCTCTGCCTTTGGAAAATGCCAACTACTCAAGAGATACCAGCTCTGATGGAAAAAATATTTATTGAGGTCCTACTCTGTCAGTCAAAAATAAATTTGGGATGGAGGTTAAGAGCACAAGAGAAGTAGGAATAGCTACAAGGTGAGTGTTTGTAGGGACATTCATTGGCAGACATGTCAAAGACTGGTAAAAGAAAGCCCAGATTTCTTGTTAGAAGACTCAGGGTAGTACTGAAGCTGGGATGATAGGACTTGCATCTGAGGTGTCCCACAGAATCTAAGAGAATTGCACGACCAGAAGTCCAACACCCCATTTCACATAACAGAGAGTATCTGAGTCTGTCCAAGCACTTTTCAGAATTCATGCTGCTTTCATAAAATTTGCAATCCTTAGATGGAATTGCAATGGATACCTAAGTGAGAAAGCTGAGGAGAAGAACATGAAGTGATTATTTGGGCAGCAAATGGAAAATCTCTGCTGACAACAGCAGCCAAGAGGTAAAGATGTTGTAGATTTTAAAAATCAACCAACATCTGCCAAGGATCTGACCTGGTAAACTGACAGGAACCAAGCAGTGCTGCTCTGGTACCAGATCTCAGCTAGGATTAATAGCAGGAGTCTCTAACACAGCTAGTGATTAACATTGTGTGTTCAAGAATGAGCAGAGCTCATTCTCATATGTTGGCTTGGGTTGACTCCTACCCAGCAGCTTTCAAAATCTAAATAATGCCCTAAAAAGTGCCTCAACAAGCTAGAAACTCATATATGTGATACATTATGTTGAAGCAGCACCTGGAAAGAGAGCTGGGAAACTCCAACCTGCTGTTGTGGTAGAAATCTAGAAAGCTTCCCTAACTTATAAATTCAGGAGAGTACAGATGGGCCCAGCAGGAAACTTGCTACCTGGGGGGTGTGTTGGAGGTGGGGGAGGTGCAATCTTGGGCTGGAAACAGGAATGGGATGTTAAAACAGAAATACCATCCAAAACTGAGAAGAAGGTGAAATTCATACAAAGAAGATATTTCACATCTCCCCTCTACAGAAGGCCATACAAAACTAATATTATATTCCAAACAGACTAAAAATTAGAAGAAAATCTTTGTTACCGTAAAATTTCTGTTGTTGAATGTCCAGTTTTAACAAGTCTGAACCAAATAAAATAAATGACATCATATTCAAATCATTTCCCCTCCATCATTAGAACTGTAATGACAGCAAATGCTAGTGGTGGGTGTGCTTGGCACTAAGAAATGATCATTAAGAAGCCAGTTTTACCTGGAGAGCTGCTGGTTCTGGGGATGAAAAATACTGTAGTCATTGAACTGAACAAGTCAACATAACTTTTGCAAACAGCTTTTGCACCAGCTTAAAAGAAGACTTCTCCTGACTAAGCCTAAATGGACTAGAAAAGAGTTTAAACTATGTGAAAGAAACTGCACAAAACAAAATTAGAGCACCTGCGCCAATAGAAGCAAGAATGTATTGTAACTTGGCTTAAAAGAGGCTACTGCTCAGCCTCACACCAGTCTCTTTGCATGGCTCTGATGCCTTTGAATCCAGTGATGTAATGATTGAATTTACTCAGAAAAGGAAGTGGCTTATACCAAACCAAAACCATTTTACAGGAACATTTATCTTTGCAGCTCTTGTGGAACTTCAAGACTAATTTCGTCTATAAAGATGAAGCATTAAACCACAGAGAATATGCAATTTGCCAAGGGAAACAGATATCTGTGGCAGATATGGAAGCTGGATGAGTCTAGATTTAAAACACCTGATTAGCTAGGACTAGCAACCAGGAATACACAAAAGTCAAGGAAGTAATTGGTTTTTCTAATGGTTAGAAAGGTAAGCAGGTAAAAGAAGCTATTCTTAGATAATATCTGGCCTCCTACCAAACATCTGGTAGCAAACTGTTTCATTTTGTAAGTTTATAAGAGTAGCATGAACTTAATATTTTTTTTTCTGACTCTTTATCCACTTTGGGACTCATGATACTCATACTGCCCCACTTTGCCACAGCTTTCTGAGGATGCTCAGCCTTTCCATGGAATTACAACAGCCCAGCCAGTCACTGTGGATAAAGCAGCAGCTAAAGGAATCCCCCATAAGGGAGGCCAACTAAAAGAAACGAGCTTGCTCTGACACCCACACCTACATGTACTGCCTGCTCTCTGTGCCTTGATCTCAGGTATTCAACACAATATGGTTGTTTGCTCCAGAAGAGCTTAAATCAACATTTAATTCATTAACCACAAAAGTTTTAGACCAACACCTGAAATTGCCACCTCTGGTGCTCTATGCAGCCTGGCCTCTTCACCTTTAGTTCTCCAATTGGTAAGGCCAGCAGCAATATAAAAATCCTTCTCTTGCTACTCCCATGTTATTCCATTCCCTTTCTCCTCAAAGGGAATTCTTCCTCCATCATGCATTGGGCCAAAAGAACCAAATGCTATCCCAGTGAGAGCAAAGCAAACTAATCCTGCACACAGGGAAATCATGAGGAGGCAAGTGGGGAGACAGAACTGAGAAACAACATGAAAAGCAGGAGAAAAGAATTGACAGCTGGGGCAAGGAAGAAAATTAGCACAATTTGAAGAAGACAACACAGTCTAAAGGTGCCCTAGAGAACAGCCACCAACACTGAGAGGACAGACAAAGGAAAAGAAACTACAGTCAGACCAACTTATCAGAGAACAAGAAAATATTCTCATTAGCAAGTCTGGCAGGGGAGGAATGCAAATGGCAAAATTTAATTCAAGATCTCAGTCGTGAGTTTGAAAGTTTCCACTCCTGTTCCACGTTACCTTCCACTGCTTTGACCTTCTCCTCCATCTCCCTCTTCCTCTCCTCCTTGAGCAGCTGTTCCTGCTCCCTCTTCTGCACTGCTATAAGGATCTGGCGCTCCTCCTCTTCCTCTCTGCGCCTCTGCTTCTCCATTGAGCTCAGCACATTTGGGTTTACCTGTAATAGAATGACGCACCAAAAACTGTAACTGAGTGGCTCGCTGCAAGCTGAGCAGAGGCAGGTTTACTTGGAGGAGGTATTAAAGCACACCTACAATGGATGACTGGGAGGGAAAAAAAGGGGGAAAAAAGGATTTGAATGAACGATTTCCTAGATGAAAAGCAACATGGAAAGGGAGGTTATTTGCCAAGCAATGAAATCCTACTGACACAAGGACAATGGAGGGAGAAGCGATGGGTTAGACAAGCTGCCATTCTGTCAGGGATGCACCACGCACATTTCTCTTCCCTTCTGGGCAAAGGATTCAGGCTGTTGACACCCTTACACAACACCTCCACCTCTTCCAGCTAGCAGAGCTCTGACTGTAAGTGTGAGAAGGACTACTTTGCCAAACCTGTCTCTGCTGCAAAACACAGAACACTTCCATAGGAAAAGCATCTGGTACAGCCCTGCATCAAGGTATCATTAGGAATGTTTTCCTTTCCTGTTCAAAATTTCTGTGTGCTAATCTCCCCTGAACTGGCTCTCATTTGTTTGTTTGGACAGTTTTCCTGCTGAGTCCCAAAACCAGCTCTCTCATTCAAGAACACCTGGCTCTTTATTGCCCCACTTTCTCACCTCCCCATTGCCAGCAGGCTGCAAGGCTGTGTTTGATCCTACTTAAGACTTCAGGCTTCCCAGACCAGGGGCTGCCTGCTCCTATTTCTCCAGTAAAGTATAAGGTGTATATATATATGGAAGTGTGGAATTATCTTTATGACCTTAATTTAGTTCTAAGACAAATGTATCAGTCATCCACCAGCCACTCCTACCCCTGTGACCAAGATATGTGTACCTTATCAGCAGGGAATATCAACCAGAAAAAACAATGTACATACAGTTTGCTTCAACTTCACTTTCAGGGAATAACCAGCAACCACCACTTAGGCAGAAGGCATTTCCTGAGGATTAGCAATCAGCCGGGGTCCGTTGGCTGCTGCTCAGACCATCAACTTCTCCAGGCCCATTATTAATCCCCAGGGAAAAAAAAATAAATTCTGGCACCAGGATTACTATTTTGTCCTTGTTTCATTGCCCAGGAATGGAACCTGGGGGTGTTTTGATGAATGCCTAGAAATGTTGTCTGGTTTCACTGCACATTCATTCCCCCTCTGCCTCCCCTTCCCCTACACAGTCCCAGGCTGCCCTACAAACTCCCACTCCAGTTTTCTGCAGATGAGCACCATGCATCATCACCAGCAGAAACAATACATTAAGAGAATTATGCTTCAAACACCAACAGTCACAGAGAAGTGTCCACAAGAGGGTCATGGGACTCTTGACAAAATTAGGACCATATCCTGCATTTAGGGACAAATTGGGCAATAAAACCCACCTATTCTGTGTTGATCCTTTAAAGTGAGACCCAGAGCTCCATCTCATCATGAGGGAACCATTCTCTTATTTTCCATTTTATATCTTTGTCAAAATGTTATCACTTTATTTGTCTATCTCTTTTCTAGGGAAATTATTCTGTGAGTTCAGGTGCCTTGAGATTAGCCAGCCTCTCCCCCCAGTCAGTTTGAAGTTTGTTTCTCAACCCCTCATTCCATCCAATAATTCCTAGTTATGCTCTTCTGGCTGAACATAAATTCTCCTTTTCTTTAGTCACATTCCAGCCTTTGCCTTATGGACTCCTCAAACACACAACTCCCACATTTCTACATTTAGATTAAATGTTTTCTTATAAAGCAATCCCTTCAGTTCCTTGGCATGATTATTCCAGTTGTTTCTCAAACCTTTCCTCTCTGATCAATATCCAAACACCAAGATGCCCAGGATTGTGCTATGACAAGGACAACAGGTCAAGAACCTAGAGCATTGGGTTCTATATTTCCACTTTTGATTCTTTTTTTCCTCAAAAGCTCTGCCATCTGAATTGCTACTTGTGAGCTGCAAACAACTTCCTTTCAGACCTGATCCTGACCACTGTCAAACAGTTTTCCTCTGACTTTCTTGATAAATCTTAAATTGCAATAGGAACCAAAAGAGTGAGGTAAAAAGAAAGAGGTGAGCAGGAACCCGCCACCAAACTTGGTATGCCAAGATATTTTAGTGAGGATGTGACCATCAGCCTTTACATTCTCAAACCACTCCATGTAAGCCAGCCTGGCACGTTAGGATTTCTTTGATTGCTGGTACACAGGTGAAACCTTCCCTTTGCCTAGATTAATACAACTTCCATCTCTCATGCCCTGTGGAAACAGGAACACAACATCCAAGCTGCAGTGCTCACACCAGAACCTCTCCAAGCCTGCAGGGAACACTCAGCACCCTGAGCTTTAATGGCATGACACAGGATCCACAGCATGCTCCAGAGCAAGCCAACACACATATGGCATCAACAAAGCACTTTTAAACAAAGGAGAGGGTGTCATCCTACCAGATCTAGAAAGCAAAGGGAAAAGCAGAAACCACAAACACAGCCTAGAGAGCCCCAAGGACTGCAGCAGACACCCACAATTGCACTTACTCCCTGCAGCACTTGCAGGGCAGCAACAGCGCTGCATGGGCTCTTTGAGACCCTTCAGACACAGAAACAACCTCATTCCCAGAGGCACCTCTGCCTGCTGCCCCACCTAGGTCCATTGGGGACGAGTGTGCTCAGCTCAGGGTTAAAAAAATACACAAACATGAACCAGTAAACTCCTACTGGATTGGTGGAAGCAGACCCTTATTGGAACGACAAAAGCAAGAATCAAGCACAAGTTAAACTTCCTTCCTGACCACGGAGGAGGCAAAAGGAGGTGGCAAAAGGACAGGACTCTTCTCCAGCTTCCTCCCCACTCGGAGGATAAACACCACAGCGACCAAGGCATCACCGCCTCCTTCCCTCCGGCAGAGAGCACTCCAGGACAACATCGCTGCTGTCCCCTGCCCTGGGACTCTGAAAGAGTCAAACTGCTGCCTTCAGCTCTGCTCTCCAGACACTGGGTATCAGGCTTCAGGGGCAGAAGGCCAGAAGGCGCGGGTGCCCTGAGTGCCCTGGCCCCTCATCCGCCAAACCTTCCCGCTCAGGTTTCCGCAGCTCTCCTAATGAGGGTGCTGCTCAGGCGGCTCTTAATGAGGAGCTAATCTGAACCACCTGTTGAGAAATCCCCCGCAGGATCAGGAGCCCATGGAGCAGTTACATCTCCAACTCAAGCAGCAGCCAGGAGAAAGAGGTCACCTGTACCGGGCTGAGGCTTTCTCCCCCAGGCTCGCCAACTGCCCACCCTGGTTTAAGGAACAAGCCACCAGACATGCTGGCACTTCCCTGGTGCCCCATGGTAGGGATGGGCTCACATCCTGCTGGGGAGCAGTGTGACCATCACCACTGTGGCTGGCTGGCTCCCTGTCCCGGCACAGCGGGTGCCAGGAGGGCCCCTGCTCGCTGGAAAGGTTTCACTGGCCCACAGGCAGCAATTAACAGCCCTCTGCTGCCGCAGACCTGGAGCACCTGCGGTACTGATTAGCATCATTCAGGCTCCATGTGTTTCCCACTCCCCTCCTCCTCTGGGATTTCTGCTGCCTGTGAACAAACACGTGTCCCTGTGCTTCCTGCATGGTGGGCTTTGCAGAGAGCAATTCTGGCCCCAAACTGACCATCGCTGGGGTCTCATTTTCCTCTCGGCAGGCTTTTATCTGCAGCATGATGAGAGGTTCTTCCTTCCTTTTATTCATCTGTTTCTAAGTAATTACATTTATTGCACAGGGACCTGTACTTTCTCCTTTGTTTTGGGGGAACCCCTGACTCTAGCTCACATGGCATATTCCCTGCAGCCTAATTTCCCAGGGTTTGACACAACACCAGGTAACTATGTTTCCATTACATCTACAGCGAGAGATTATGCCCCAACCTGATAGAATTGAGACAATTTTTTCCTCTGAGGCTAATCTGGTGTTGTCTGACCGATTGCTTTGGGTAGCAGTTGCCAGTTCAAAGACCCCCCATCTCCACAGCCCCATGTCCCTGCCTGTGCTGGTGTGCCTGTTAGGGGCTGTGTGGTGAACTGGATCGGAAAACTGATCTATGTTAAAAATAACCCCGACCAAAGAAAAAGGTTATATTTAACTCCAGTCATTTTCCTGGGTCTGGTTCACTGCACAGACCCTCAAGCAGCAGCAGTGCTGTTGCACTGATGGGGTAGAGACGAGATGAGGGTGAGGAGGCACAGAAAGCGCTGTTAGAGCCCACAAGGCTGCAGTTTGATAAGCATTTCTTTAAGCAGCCTAAATTGTGACTTCCATTTCCAGCTGACCCCCTCCTAGCTCAGCTCCATACTGCATCAGTCATTCTCTCCCTCGGCGCTATCTACACCCTCATGTGTTTGCAGCCTCACGTTTTCCCCTTGGCTGAATTTCTGTCATTTCCCTTTGTAAGCTGGTTCTTCTAGCCCTCTCATCCTTCTTCAACTTTTCTTTGAACTGCCTCGAATGTGCCAGCACTTTCATTGAAGTGGAATTCCCCAGACTGAGCGCAGATTTCCATCTGCAGCTGCAGCGGGGTCTGCGGCGGGGCCGTTCCCTGTGCGATCCAGAGGGCAGCACCTCCCTGCTCGCCATAGAAACCCCGGGTGTCAGCCTGCCTTTGACGGGCATTACCACCCATCTCTCTTTCAGCACAGGCACTTTCAAGCAGCTCCTTCCCACTGAATGGCGATGCTGCGGTTTATTTCTTCCCCCAGGAGGCATCTGCTCTGCCTCCCTCCGTCATCCTCCCCCTCACACCCCCCCTCACCTCCTGCTTGATTGGTTTGACGGGCTGATGGTCAGACATCCACCTGGGAGAAAACTCTGTCCGCTGCAGACGCTTCTCCTGAAACAGGGTTGAGAATTGAGGGAAGGAAAAAGAGAGTGGAGGAAATTAGGGCACATCGGTGACACTGGCAGCAGAAACTCTGAGGGCTAGAAGTGACCATGAAATCCCTATTAGCTTTACAAGGGTAGCAAACAAGCAAACTGAACTCGATCCAAGAACAGCACGCTGACTGCAGAGCCTGTTTCACAAAGCCATCCAGCCAAAGGATCCCTTTCCAGATCTGTCCCACCTGGAAACACTCAGCTGACGGACAACACCCCTCAGAGTTTTGGGCTTAGCTAGGGCAGCTAAGCAGCCAGTGCCCCTTCAGCAGAGCCAGCAGAGAAAGGGCAGTAAAAGTGGAATCACAGGCAGTTTGCATAGAAAAGCCAGGCTGTAAATCGCAGCAGTTCAAAAGCACAGAGATCCCCTGCCAGCAGGAAAGGGCCACAGGACACGGCTGAAGACAGTAACCCCTTCAGCCACTCTACCTACACTGCTGTGCAATCACCAACCAGATCCTCGAGCACCGACTCCAGCACTGCATGGGGGACAGTCTTCCCCCCATCCACACATCCTCAACAGCCCCAACATCCATGGCACTTGCAGGCTGTAGGTGCAGGGAGCAGAACAGGCTGGCAGGCTGCTGGGATTTAGCTCTCCTTCACTCAGCAAGCATCCCTGCTCTTGGAAGTGGTCAAAGAGAGGTAAACAGGATGTCATGTCTCCTCACCTTCTGTGCAATCATGTTGCAGATCTCCGGCAGGAAGTCTTCACTCAAGAGTTTGTAGAGCTGCCTCTCTCTAAGGGAAGTCCTCTCTCTGAAGCTCTCTGTGACCTGCCTCCACTCCTCTTCCGTCTGGCACAGCAACCACCATGTCCCACGGCCAGGCCCCTGGGACCCTTCAAAAACATGAAAGGATGTTATCTCCACAGCAGTTATGACTAACAGCTCCTCTCAATCCCTTCTCTTCTCTCCTCAGGGCTCAGGAAGAGCAAGAGACACTGGCAAAGGCCACTGTTAAAGAAAACATTCCATTTGCTACAGACCCAAAGCTCTCTTCATGGACCAGAAGCACTGCTGCCTCTGAGAGTGATGCCAAGATAGAGAGGAAGTACTCAGGGGAAGAAATAATGGTGCCACATGGCAACACACAGGTAGTGTACATCCCTGTAGCAACCCCACATTCCAGTTATTGTAGACTGGAGAAAAGAATTTAATTTGTTTTTTGTAAAGGGGGCTGTCAGCCAGAGCAGGACATAGGGAACTGCAAATGTCTAATTTAGTCTGGCAGCAGAATAAAGTCATCAAAAATAATGTAATTTGAAATACTTTTTTTTTTTTAAAGCATTGCAAACCATTTCTGCAGGGCAACAAATCCTCCTGCTCCCTGCAAATGAAATATTTTGTTTGCAGGCACTTGAAAGAGCAGGAGAGGAAGCGAAGGACAGGGTTCATCAGGCTGCCAGATGAGGGGGAAGTTCCAAAAGTTCACATCCCATCCCTGCTCGATCCAGAGTGGGATTGAAGCAGATCACCCACTGCTCTGAAGCATGTCCCAACCACCAAGACACTTTGAGAACTGTTCCACCTTGTGTGAAACATTTGAATATTAATTGTGAAGGAAGGGCTCTCTTGCACTGTGGTTGGAACACCCACCTGGAGCTAGGGAATGTGGTTCCTGCTCCACAAATGTTTACACAGAGCAGGGAAGCCTCATGGGTTGCAACTTGTATGCTTTTGCCCCAGGATGCTCTCTGAGCACAAAAGGGTTGCTGCCCTTTTTTTGTTTTTGGAGTGGGGAATGTTTTGGATCAAACACCTTCAGGCTGAGGGGTTCTCAGCTCCCTCCAGACTTTTCTAGGGCTAACCACTGGCTCCCAGGAAAGCAATGGAGCAATGGTCATCAGCACCACTGGCAGATGTCATGCACCTTCTGAACACATTTGCAAGCAAACTAACAATGAAAAACAAAAAGAAGTAAAAAAGCTGAACCTGACTCTGGGCCCTTTGTGGATCTGAAGTGTGAGTGGCTGTGACGTGCAAGGTGTCAGGTTGTCCCAGGAAGGCTGGAAAGCTGCAGGCTCCCTGCAGTACCTGCCCTCTGTCAGGTGCCCGGGGTGCAGTGCAGTGGCACAGAGTTTCAGCTCTGTGAGTGCATGGGCACTGGTAACTGAGACAGCAAAGGTCCCGTGCTGCCTCTGCTGCTCTGCCTACAAAAAGCCATCCATCCCTTGCCCACGTGCAGCAGGGAGCTTACCTGCATCCTGCCCCCAGAGCCTGCATCCTTGTTTCTCATTCCCTTGCCAGCTGCCCGCAGACAACTCATTTCAATAGCAAACAGGACTGAGGCACTGCTTTGTGCCAGCAGAAGATTACTCTGCAGCTGAAGTGACACAATTTGCTGGAGACAATGATCTGATAAAACCCCCAGCGCCTCACGCGCATCGCCCGGCTCCGGAGAAGCCTGAGTGGCCGCCAGGAAATCTGAAGACAAAGTGCAAATGGAAGGAGGCACGGGAAAGACAATGCCACCCTTGCCTTTTATTGTGAGGCAACAGGCAGGCGAGTCCCTGGGTTTTGTGGAAGCCAGTGGATACACATGTATGACAAATGAGTCCCAGCTCCCTTGAACTCACGTTCACATCATGTTGCTAACTCGCTTTTTGCCTCGTTAACCCTTAGCTGGGTACCCCCAAGACATTGTTTACCACTCTCAGCCACCCAATTGCCATGAGGAAGGAAAAGGGAGAGGATTAAAAAGGTTCTTCCTTCCCTATCTTAGCATCACTGACTTGACTCTCTTCCCCATTCCTGCTAACAAGAGTGGTGTGTTTTACCTTACCCCTGGGAGACTGAGGACCATTCACAGCCTGCTTTTTTAGGTGAGCCCTTGAATTCCAGTGTATCCCAGAAGGTTAGGTTTCTTCATCCCAAACTCAGCCATAACAAAATAGGAGGCCTCCAGGTGCCCAGGCTCCCAATGCCAGGCAGTCTGTAACACAAACGCCTCCTTCCAAACTTGGCCCCAACCTCCAGCAGAAGGACTCTCCTGAGAAAGGCTGAGTTGTCTCTCAGGCATCTCTCTGGGTTTTGATAATTTAAGTCTGATTAGTGGGTGGTATCAACACCAATACTGCAAAATCTCTTTACCATTTCTTATCTGAGTCTCGTGGATAAGCAAGCTTTCTTCTGCCTTCTCCCTACCAAAAAGAAAGAGAAGGAGTGATACAATAAGTACATCACATCACCAAAACACAGCTGTTTCTGACGACAAGAATAGGGAACACCACAATTATTCAGCACAGAGCAAAACCATGAAAAGAACACTGCAGAACACACATTTGATACATATTACAAATATATATTTATCATAGCTTCGTAAAGTTTTTGTAAGTGAATGGTGCAGGATGAAGTTTGTCAAGTACAGTATCTCAGTTCTTAAGGGAAGCATCCCAAAATCTAAATGGACTCAACTGGCCTGGATTTCTGGCTTCAAGTCACACAATGAAAGTATTCTTTATCAGGAGCAAATTCCCTAGCACTGCATGGTGGAACTGCATTTGAAGTGAGGTGGTTGGAAGAGTGATGCCCACTGTTTCACCAAACTTCCAGCTAAGTCAGAATTTGCTTTGGAGAGTAATCAAAGCATCCACCAAGTCTGAGCTTGTTTCACTTCTGAGTTGCTTTGAGATTATGGCTGCATGGTATATACATAGTTATTGGGGGAACCCCAGACATACATTATACTTCCCTCTGGGAATGTATTTTAGATCTGTTGCAGGAAGAACCCTTCCATACCTCAGCAAATTTTCCTCCAGTAGTTTTTTCCGCTTCGGAGGTCGCCCTCGTCTCTTGCCTGTTTTCCCAGGAACGTTTGGGGTGTTTGTCTGCCCCCCACATCCCCTGAAAAATGGCAAAACCACCATGAAATATCTGCCAGCAAGGCAACTGAGGCTGGCAGGATGGGAGAGGGGCACAGAAATCGGAACAGCTGCTAGGATCCCAACCAAAGGAGGGATTAAATCAGAGCAGCAACAGGACGGGGAGGGGAGAGGAGGGATTCCCACTGGCTGGGAGCCGCCGGTGCGGGGCAGCCAGGCAGGAATGCGGTGGGGCAGGCAGCAGCGCTCCCCCAGCAGGCTCTGCCGGTGCCACAAAGGCTGCAGGCTGCCTGGACACAATGCATGGCTGCATGGCAGCCCCCAGCCTGCTTGGCAACTCGGGTCCCGCCCGCGCTGCCCCTCCCCAGGCCCCGCTCCCCCCGGCACAACAGCAGTGAGGCGGAGGAGCCCCCTCCGGCCCGGGCCGTGCCCCCCTCGCCCCTGCACCAAGCCAGGGAGGGGGTGTGTGAGGGGCTGTTACCTGTCTGCAGCCAGCTCCCCATTGGGTTTGCCCTGCACCGGCTCCTCCTTGTACATCCTGGTGCCGTAGAAGTACCAGTACAGGGCGCCGCTGCTGTCCTCGCCCAGCGGCTCCACGCGGAGGCTGTCGGCGTCCAAGCCCTGCGCCCGCCGGGAGCCCCCCGACAGACGGTGACAAGTTGAAAAGCGGCCACATTGTCACACAAAACATGATGACACCCCTCGGTAAACACCTCCCTCCCTCCTTCCTTCCCTCCCACCATGCCACAGCAGCAGTACAGCTGCTCCTCCCGGCCAAGCTGGGAAAATGTTACTCCAGGGGGAAGATGACGTTGTCTCTCTGTCCAGGGAGGGATTTAGATTGGCATCTCTAATTTGAATGGCCTCTCTCGTTTTAACATTTCATCTCTGGTGCTCCTGACAGGGAAGGTCTAATTAGTGCTGGCGACAGTCATGCACAGCCCTGAGAAGCTCCCTCCCCCCCCATCCCTGCTCTACCCTCCCCCAGCTCCCCCAGTATACTTCATCCCCATCCTTTCATCTCACAGCATCCCTCAGCAAGGCAGCAGTCTCTGCTCTCACAGCCCTGCCATTACCATCAAAGCACCTCCAAATTCACTCTTTGCAGAAAGAGTAGCCAATGCAGCCAACTTCCTTAGTGACTCCCATGTTATGAATACATCCACACAGGACAAGGGCCCAAGTTCTGAGCAAGGCAGAGGAGGGCAAAGCGAACGGCTGACCCACTGTGACCCCTTCTCTTCCCAAGAAGATTCTGATCTGGCCCAGCTCCTGTGGCCACAGAGTTTCCCTCCTCCCTGCTGCCCAAAGCACCTTGAGGAGGTCGAAGACATCGTCGGCGTCGAGGCGGTAGTCGCAGAGGCGGTGCAGGATCTCCACCCGCGTGCGCAGGGGCAGCTCCTGGAAAGTGCACTCCCTCAGAGGGTTGGGCTTCCCTTCCTCCAGCTCCCAGCGGTAGTTGATGATGTCCTCCAGGTAGCTGTGAAACGTCTGGGATCTAACCAAGGAAGAAAAGAATCTCACACACTTCCTGTAGTTTGTCATGTCCACCTGGTGCACCAAGCGACTGCAACCAACACAATGCAGGGACAGAGAGCACCTGAAGGAAAACTGTCAGCTATGGTGGGTGCAGCTCCATCATTCACATTCCTAAAACACAGCAATCTCATTGCAACATCACAGGATGTCATGACACAGTCAGTTTTTTATACACAGACTGTTATTTCTTTCCAAGCAGAATGAGCCAAACATGGTAGCAACTCATCTCCTTTCTACCCCAATGGGCAATGCCTTGTGCTAGCATCAGCCACTCTTAACTAAAATGGGGTGCAACAGAATTTGAGTCTGCTCCCCTTCCAACTCTTCCCATTTGATGGGGGGACAATTTTCTTCAGATTTCCCTTTGCCCTTCACATCTGTCATTGCCAAGCCCTGCTCATCTCAACTTCTAAAGAAATGTTCATGCCCTGGTTCAGTGGCTTGAGACTATGCATAGCTGATTGATTCCTCCTCACTTTGCTGCTCTATGTGGTCCCTGGCTCTCCCTCCATCCCCACAGGTGCTGCCACTTTCTGCCTGTTCCTTCACTGGTGGCTCTGGCAGGACATCTGCACTGCCCACCTCACACACTGCCACACAACAAGGCTCATCCCCAACAGGAGTGCACCTCCCAAAAAGGAGTCAGTACAGAGGACTTCCCCGTCTGTACTCTCCCAGATCACCAAGCTGAACACTTGATCTCTTCATAAATATTACTATTAAAATGATCTTTCTGATTTTCTAGCTGGGTCACATTAAGTCCTACTTTCACTGCCAGCACTTCATCATAAAACCCAAGGAAGCAGATATTTCTCACCCTCATCTAGCACTGAGAGTGAGTGTCCCCATCTGACACGTTTAAGACCACTGATGGAGCTTAAGGCTAAAAGAACTCCTGTCAATATTTCATTGAGATGTAAGCCTTCACTCTGAATGCCCAAAATGTCAGGGGAAGGAATTTCAGGAAAAGGGGCCATGTCCCTAAATATAAAACTTTCTGAAGATCTGTCCATACGACTTTGAGTCCTGAGAGTTGCCAGGCTCGCTCAGCCTGCTGGAGTTGTGTAAAAGGGGACCCCCCCATGTCCCAGCCATTCTTGCACACACGGGAAGTCCATATGCCAGCAAGAACACCACTGGGTACACATTCCCACCAGCTCTCAAAAAGGCAGCTCCACTTGATAGGTTTTTGGCACAAGCAGATTACTCTATATGATTAATGGAACGGCGCCAGCACTACAGAATTGCATTTCCCTGAGAAATTGCTAACTTCTACAAAAGCTATTATATTTTAACAAAGAGGTGGAGGAGTGTGATCCAGCTGAAGAAAGATCATTAAAAGTCAACAAGAAGTTAACTATTAGACAGAGGTCTTCACACATTGGGTAAAGACCAGACTTCTCTGCAAGGACCACGACTGGCCAGTGACTGTGAGAACGAAGGAACAGATGCCTCAAGCCATGTCCACCTGGCAGCATTTCCCTTCCTCCTTGGGCAGAGAGAAGCACAGATCACCCTGCAGATCTCTCCTCACCAGCCTGCTTCTTTCTGACGTCAAATGCAAGCTGACCTCCCAGAGATATCAGCTCTCACCATACCACTGTTACCAGCCCTCTGGTTGTATTTAACAACAGATGCTTGGGTGTACCTGGACCTGGTGCCCTCTGCAAGCTGGAGTTTGCTCCATCTGCGTGACACAAGCAAAGCATCAGTGTTCCCAAGCATTGTTGTTTCACTATTGTCAGCAATCAGACAAATATAACTTGGAACAGCCCCCTATGCTGACAAAGTTCAGTCACAAAGGGAGGACTGACATTTTATGAAATGCCTCAGAACTGCCTCAAGTAGTAATTAAAAACTACAGCAAGTATCCTTTTAAAAAGTGAAATATTCAGTACACACTACACCTACCTGAAGTAGCTGTGCATTCCTGCATTGTCTTTCTCAAATATCCCAAGATCTAACCTCCAGCAAGGACTTTGATTTGGGAAAGGGGGCAATAATAGATTCCCTTTACAGACTTTTTAAGAGTGGTATTTGATAATGTATCTTAAATGTATCAGATATTTACAGAAGCCATTAGATTAAAACAAATAAAAGAAAGAAAGACAGAAAGAAAGAAAGAGAGGAGAGAAGGAGAGAAAAGAGAGAAGGAGAGAAAGAGAGAGAAAGAGGGAGAGAGAGAGAAAGAGAGGCAGAGAGAGACAGAGAGAGGCAGAGAGAGACAGAGAGAGACAGAGAGAGACAGAGAGAGACAGAGAGAGACAGAGAGAGACAGAGAGAGAAAGAGTTGTATTTGGATGCTTAGTCCAGAACCATAAGGCAAATGACTGTAAGCTCTCAGACAGCATTTGAGTTTCAGCCCCACAAGTTCAGTTCTTCAACTCTGCCAGAGCTCAAGGCAGAAGATTATTTTATCAAATCTGATACAGAGGTTCTGGCTATTTCCAATAAAATGGACTCAAAAAGCAGTTTCCCAAGGATCCTCAATAACTAGCAGATGAAAAGGATTGCCAGAAAGAAACAACAAAAGTAAAAGAGTTCTATCTACTCCTATTTTTTTTCCTACCTAAAAGAAAGCAGGAAGGCATGGCTCAGACAGATACTTTTACCACGTGCACGAGTTCACTTATCTCGCTTTATCATTTTGGCTGCTCTCAAAGAAAACTGATCCAGGAAGCTGTTTAATTCCAGAAGATCATTTGAAATCATTGCCTATGTAACTCCCCTTTCCCCTAGGGACTGGCTCTGTTGATTTAACCAATTTGGTTTTAGTTTGACTTTCACATAAGTGGCTAACACTAGAAATTTCCGCCGTCCACCCGGTGTTCAGTGCATTACAAGCTCTGTTCTTAAGAGTACTTTTGAGTTCCTACCCCCATCAATTTTCAAAGACAGCTACTGTGCATTTGTCGCTTTGAATAAGGATAGAAATAAGAACCAGAGATGGGAAACAGATGTCTCAAGGCATTCCCAATCACTCTCAATCTTACCCAATTTATATTTTTCCTCTTAATGGGAACTGACCTCTTTTCTCCAGACAAATGGATAGTGCTCGTCTTCACCCTGTCTGCCACACCTACACTTAGTTTCACTTACCCCATCTCTTATATTTCTGCCACACCTACACTTAGTTTCACTTACCCCATCTCTTATATTTCCCTTTGAAAAAGTTTCTGAAACAGCTCTCTTGGTTTGGAAAAGAAAATCTGCAGGGAGGACAGCAATATGTGAGAACCCTGCCCTTGGGGTTCTTCCCTGCTCTAAGCAGAAATGCCCAAGAATAACTGTTTAGAATTGCCTATGAAATTAAAACCCAAGAATCAGAGAGACTGGATCCAGGAATGGAATTACCTGGATACAGTCTGTTAGATACCCTTTTTTCAAGCTCAGCAGGACACCAAAACACTTGAAAGTCCTACAGAGTCTCTGCTGCAGCTAAGAACCTCCAAAAACTCTTTTGTAAGTGGGAAGAGGGCAGGAAGGAAACCACTGAGCTGAGGAGACAGAAGTATCTCTTCCCCAGAGGTTCTCAGCATCACTGAGATGTGTAAAAACACTCAGTAAATGGAGGCAGTGTTAGGTCAGTACTGTCCTTTTCTCTACAAACTGGGGCATTCCCAAGGAGGCTGAACTGGTACATGGGCACATTCTCAGGGCATCTATCCAAAGGAAAACCAACTCTCTTCTGAAAGTAAATTGGGAGTCTTAGAAACAATTTACAAGAGAAGTGTGAGACCACGGGCCATGACTCTCACCACCTCTCAACCACTTCCTGATGTGTAGCACAGGCAGCTTCCACACAGCTCAGTAACCAAGGAAAAGTACTACAGAAACCAGCTACAACAGATCAGAAAATGTACCTCGAAGAACTCTGCAATTCTAAAACTTCTCCCATGCCAACATGAATAGCACCATTAATATTTCATAAAACAGAAAAACTTCCCTCACCTGTCAAAACATCCCTTGCTTTGCAGTTGCCCCCCAATGTGCAAAGCAATTTGGATAGCTGTAGTGGGGCAGTGGTGGAATGGTACATGCACATCTATGTGGTACATCCCACGTGGATGCAGATGATTTTTCAAGAGCCCAGTGCAATTCTTAGTCTTATCCCTGACTACACCCTGAAACCACAGGGCTGTTGTCAGAGGTCCCTATCTTTTGCTGCAAAGATTAGAAAGGAGGTCGAAGCCAAACTGCAACTGTGGTCGAAAGTTTTAATCGTATGTTGCATATACAAAGAGAAATCTGGGGCACAGGGAAGGACACGACCCAGCACATCTGTGTCAAAGGGGAGGAACAGCGTCAGACAATCCACAAGAGTACCACCGAGGCTGCAGCTCAAGTTGCCTGTGATCTTTAGCAGCAGCTGCAGAAAAATCAGGGCATAAAGAAGATGGAGCAAGTTGAGGGAGGGGCTCCTCTCCCCACCATGGGTATCAGCGCCCAGAGCAGCCAGAGAAATGATCCAGCCCTGACAGCTCAGCGCCGCAGCCCGGCCATCTGCTGCCCGGCTGCCTCCCAAAGAGGGAGGCTTCTCTGCTCCAGAGAGGGGAGCTGAGGACTCCTCCCCCTGCCTGGCAATCCCAGTGTTTTCCCCTGCTCAAAGGAGAGGCACCCTTCCCATCTCCCCGGCTTTGAACGTGTGGGGTCACGCTCTGCTGTCAGGAAAGAGAAGCTTGGCCACTGCTCCCGTCACCGGGCCCGGCTGCCTAGAGGGGCTCCTTTGGAGACTCAGGAACAGGGGGTGAGAATTTCACAGAGCTGATGGGGATACATGGAAAAATTTGGTTGGAGCTTCTGGCGTGCATGTTTGGCAGGGAACAGCTGCACCTAGAGACCCCAGCCCCACAGGGACACTGTAGGAGCAAACTCAATGTGAAATTCCTTCTGAGCATAATTCCTTCCAGAATTATATGTACAGACACACAATGCTTATTTTTTTTATCCTTATGCCCA